TCTCCAGCGAGTTCTACTGCGGAAGACGGGGCCCTGGCGGGGGGCACAGCGAGGGGGCAATTATGTGACCAGCACGCACCCCGACCTGGCAGGAAGCAGGCGCGAACTACCGTTTGGAAGTCACGTTTCTGCAGGCTTCCCTCCACAGGTGTCCTTGGAGCGCCAGCCTCGAGTTGGATGCTACTCTGAGCCCACGACTGTCCCGTGTGAACATATTTCCCAGGAGAGCCACCACGTGCTGCGGTCACCCTGCGCCCCAGGGCTGCCCACCTTGCTTTTGTCCAAAAGAGTCAAAGCTTTTGGTTCTTGGTGCCTTTGGAAGGCTGGTTGCCTGGGTTCTGTGCCCCGGCCGCCCAGCCGGGCTCCACTGCCATGCGGGGGCCCCCAGGCTTCTCCTCCTCGGGTGGCCTGCTCATGTATTTTTAACTCACTGAGACTGTAATTCAAGATAGGAAATTCTGTTTTCTTCTTCTACTTCCTTCTTTGATCAGGATCACTGGCCTCAGGGAGGGGCCTGTGGTGGGAGGGATGGGCAGAGACCCCACGTCTTTTCCATCTTGGTTCCTCTAGAGCCTCCCCCAGAAAACGGAGAGGCAGTAAGAGAGGCATGGGGGGAGGTCAGCCCATCCCCACAGCAGGACCCACCCGGCCCCCTGCCAGTGCTCTCCCCCACCCGGCAGGGAGAAGGTGGGTCTTGGGGTCAGTCACGAGGGGGGGTGGCCAGATGCCCCCCCCGCCGCACGCTGTCTCCCATCCGCACGTGTCTGTGAGTGTACATACGTGTGCCCATGTGTGCGAGTGTGTACGTGTGTGCCCATGTACAGGTCCATCTGTGCATGTGTGCACATGTACGCACGCGTGTGTGTGTGTCCATGTGCGTGTGTGCACGTGGGGCCCCGAGGACGAGGGCTCCTGCTGGGAAGTCAGGGGATGGAGGGGAGGTGTCCTGTGGTCCAGAATCGTGGCGACGGCTTCCCACCCTCCAGCATGGCCTCACCCCTGAGCCTCTGGAGCTCTCCCAGAGGCTGGGTCCTCAGTCTTCCTGGCTGGGTCCTCAGGCCTGACACACAGCCGACCTCCTCCTGGCACCACGTGGACCCCTGGAACCACCGGCCTCCTCTCTGTCCTGGACACAGGCCTGCCCGGGAAGCTCGGGGTCCCTGGTCTGGGTTCCCGCGGGGGCCGGTGTGTGCCGGCCGCCGGGGAGCTGGGGTGTCCCTCGGCTGGACCCGTCCACGGACCCCTGTTAGCGTGGCGATCGGGCGAGTGCTCGGACCATCGAGCTGATGGCTGCTCTAGTCCTGCTTTGCCCGCGAGGCCGTTGTGCTCAGGATGCGCTGGTCTGCACGGCCCGTCTGCATGGCTCTTCTGTCTTGTGCACGGATGGACTCCAAGAAACCTTTGCTGGTCGTGGGAATGAAAGATTAAACTAAATGTCTGCAGTCAGGTCAATACGCCCTTTCCCTTGTGGAGGCCGAGATCCGGCTGACCTGGCTCAGATCTGGTTTCTGCCATTGAACAGATTCTTGACTTTGGAAAAATTATTTAAATTCTTGGGGCCTATTTCTTCATCTGTGAAATGATTTTATAGAGATGAAATAAGGCCTCGGGGGAGAAGCCATGACCACGGGGGTGGGGGGTGGGGGTGCGTGTGGCCCGGGCTCAGCCAGTGAGAGCTGCCGCCCAGCTCGCTCGAGGCCTGAAGGGACACGGCTCAGAGGCCCACGGAGGCTCCGGGAGAGCCGCTCGGGTGGGGCGACTCGGGTGTTTCCGGGGGTGCGCTGGGACCCGTGCTCCTGCAGGGGGAGGTCGGGGCGGGCGCGCTGAGGGCGCGTCACCTGCAGCCGCTGTCACAGGCGCCTTCGCACACGGCGCGTTTTCCCTCCCGACAGGGACTGTGTGAAATCAGCGCCTTCCGAAAGCCCCGCCGGCGCCACCATCACTAATGGAACAATGGGGCGGTTTGCCGAGCTCGTTCGCCGGCAAAGGGAGATGCCAAATGTTCCAGAGCGCCAAGGAGACCCTTCCCCGGGGTCGGGACACCCCCACGGCGCTTCCCCGACCGCGGCAGGTCCATCTGACGCCCCCAAACCCGGGCCCACGCTGGGCTGCCGCCTGCAGGGCGCCCCTCCCCGGCCCCGCGTCTGAGGGGCTGATCTTTCACCATCGAACCCCAGGCTCGTCCCTCCTGCCGCCGGACCTTCCGCACGGGGTCCTCCTCGCCAAGGGTCGATCGCCTCACGTGACCGAGGGATAACGCGGTCCCCCCCGGGGTGTGCGCCCTGGCCCTTGACGAGTGAGCGTGGGGAGGGACGCCCGTCTGCGTCACGTGCGACCTCGCTCCGGCCCAGCGACGGCAGCCACGTGAGTGGCTTCGAGCGTCAAAACTCTCACTGGGGGCGTGGAGGTTCCCGATCTTTTCTGTTTTTGTTTTTAAATATTTCATTGACTTATTTGTCAGAGACAGAGAGAGAGAGACGGAGCACAAGCAGGGGAGTGGCCGAGGGAGAGGGAGAAGAGGCTCCCCAGAAAGCGGGGGCCTGACGTGGGGCTCGATCCCAGGACCCCGAGATCACGACCTGAGTGAAGGCAGACGCTCAACGACTGAGCCCCCGGCGCCCCGAGGGGTGCCACTCTAACGTTACTCACACGCCAGCTCCGTGTCCGCTTTGGTCCTACACGAAGACACGGAAGTGGCCGGCAAGGAAGCTGTGCCACCTGTCTCGGGGGCGTGGGCAGCAGAGAAGACACCGGGAGATAGAATGCCCTGCATGGCCTTTGGCGTCCCCACATGCCCCGCGTGACCACCCCCCGGGGACCCTGCATGCCCACCAGGCACACCCCTGGGATCTGTGTGTCTCCCATGAATATCCCCCCAGATCCAGTGCCCCCCATGTACCCACCCACTCCCTGGGACCCCAACACTGCCATGAGCCCCCCACAGGGACCTCACCTTCCTTCTTTCGTGCTTTGCCCGCTGCGGCGTGCCCGTCAGCGAAGGCGATCTGTCCCCAGTCTTCCGCTTTCAGTGAAATCCATGCATCTGGGACCGTGGAGACCAACCCTGGGTGTCTTTCCTGTTGTGTGACTTGTCTCCCAGTGACTCTCCAGACTGCGTCTGCCTCCAGGACCCACCCCCAAGTCTCCCAGAAGCTGCATTGCTGACGGCAAACCCATCTTCGCTGGTACAAGGCCCGGCCCTTCATGCCTGTCACCTTCCTGTCCTTGCCGTCATCACCCCAGCTACCCTGGACGTCCCAGCAGGTCTTCTGTGGAGGGTGCGCCCGTGTGTCAGGACTCAGAGCCCTGCTGGCTGAGCGTGTGTCTACGTGATCTTCTTAATGTCAATATGGATTTGTCTGGCCCCTCTGATTATCTTCAGACTGGAAGAGGGCCGATTTCCTCTTAATTGTCTTAGCAAGAGCTAAATTAAATGACATTTAAAAAAACCCTAATCCCAGGCCATTGCTCTCTGCTGAGGTCAGCTTGCTGCGGGCCACAGTGTCCCATCGAGGTGGGCCAACCCGTGGTCAGTGGGCACCATGGCACAAGAGCTGAGTCACACCGGGCAGGGAGGAGGACCAAGGAATGACTTGTAGGGTCCCTCCCTGCAGTGACAGGTGCAGGGTTTGGAAGAATTCTAGATCTGCCCTTGGTCACACACTTAGCCTCCTGGGGCCTCAGTTTCCCCATCTGTACAAGGGGATCAGCATTGGGATTGCCTGAGGCCACCACAATGTGGACGGGATGGGCTGTTGTGGGCTGCTGCTCCCCCTCCAGCCGCCCGGGGGGCCCTCTGACCCCACCCTCGCTCCCCAGGCTGGGTCTGCCTCCCCGGCACAGCGTCCGAATGGTGGCCTGCCTCGCAGGCATCACCTTCACAGGGAGACCCACGTGGTGACCCCTCCTGCCGCCACTCTGTCCCTATTTTGTTGGAGCCCCTGTGCTGACAGGCTGTGCCTGTTGTGCTGTGGCCGCAGGCGGGGCCTAGCCGTGTGCTAGTGCCAGCGGCGGGCACAGCGTCGGCCCCTGGAGAGTGGTGGCCTTCGTCACAAATGCTGCATCCACAAGTCGGGGTCGGGGATCAAGGTCAAGCTCAGGGTCCCAGTTCCCTAAAACACAGGTTTTCGATGACAGCAGTGGATAGCCTGGGCTCTTGGGCGCGTCCTTGGGGAGGAAGGGCCGTGTCCTAGTCCAAGTCCAAGTCCCTGCCTCACCACTGACCGGCCAACCCCGTGGGGGCACAGTGCTGCTTCCATGACACTCCCCTGATTCCCAGGGAGGCCGGGAGCTCTGCCTCAGGGGCCGGCTCTGACAGTTTAAAAATGGCACCAACGGTCTTTGCAAGACCCTCTCCTTGCCGCCAAGCGAGGCAATGGGTCCTGGGACCCCATTCTCTGGCTCCTCCCATCCTAACCGGGGGTTTTACTCAGTGCCAGCCTGACTGGGGTGAAGGTGAGTGGGTGGGGGGCTGTGACGGGGTGAAGGTGAGTGGGGGAGGGGTATGTGATGGATGAAGGTGAGTGGGAGGGGTCACGGGGTGAAGGTGAGCAGGGGAGGGGTGTGACGGGAAGGTGAGAGGAGGAGGGGTATGATGGAGGCCTGCATTCCTTTGTTCAAGGGGAGTGGTCCTAACCCTAACCCCTCTGGACAGGGGCAGAAGCAGCTGCAGCAGCCCGTGAGGGCAGGTGGGCCGGCCCACAAGGCATCCCTCCCTAACAATGCACACCCCGCAGCCTCGGGCCTATGAGCACTGACCAGAAATCCTGGAGGAGTTCCCAGCTGGCCTCCCTCTAGGCCCTCCACTTCCTGGCACCTGCCTCCTCCAAGTACCCTGACCTGTGGCGGCAGAGGGAGGGAGAGAGTGCCGGTGGGAAGGAGGCGGTCCGTATAGAGAAGGGGCGGGGCTCAGGGCCACAGATCCTCCGACCCTGGGGGATCCCTGCCAGCCCAGACAGCCTCCGTGCACTGGGCACCGGGACGGCGGGCCCTACCCAGGGATGCAGCCGCCAGTGCCTGGGCCCCTGGCCCTGCTGGACACAACAGGTGAGAGGGTCGTTGACATCCTGGCTGCGCTGGGGACAGGCCGTGGCCTGGAGTCCCGGGCGGGGGTCGAGGGCAGGGTCGAGGGAGCTCTCTGTCACCCAGTGTGTTACCAGGGATCCCGCCCTCCGCCTCCCCTGCCCTAGCTCGGGCGTTACTAGACCTTGGTTCAAGGGACGGTGGTGGCTTCCCTAGTTTGGCTGCAGCTCTGTTCCGACCCCCACATCCTTCTGCCCCACAAGTTCCTGGAACTCTGTTCTTTGGCCAGACATGCCGTAGCCTGGAGGAGGCTCAGGGGCCAGAGGAGAGGGTGTGTTTTCCTCAGGGGGGTGAGGGCAGACTCTAAGAGGGGCAGTGAGGCTTGCTTCCCAGTGGGAGACCTCAGCCGCAGGATGGCCCAGTGCGCCTCCTAGGCTCCCTGTGGCGGGGGAGGGGGTCCCACTGGACGTGCCTGGCTGCTTGCGGCATCTTTGGGGCATCTCTTATTAAAAACCAGAGGAGTCGATGTTGTTTGATTGTTAAATAATGAATGACAAAAGAATCTGGCTTCTTGGTTGAAAGAAACAGACGCACATCCCCCACCCTCCCCGCTCGGTGCTCCATGAGCCTGTTTTCTCCCTCCAGACCTGGCTTACTCACTGGGGGCTTCCTTACCAGTGTTCGCGACAATGAGGGCTGTCACTGCTTGTTACTGTAGTATCACACTGCAGTGACTGCTGGTTTAAAGAGCACTTCGTTTTCCCTCTGATGAGCAATTCTACCAGGAGTGCTCTTACCTAAAGCACAAACACTGGGGCAGCTGGCTGGCCTTCTGAGTACTGTCACTCGATGTTTCTGTGGTCAGCACCCTGCCCCTGTCCCCCATAAGATCAGGAAACAGGAAGCAGATGGCTGAGTCGCAGGGTTCTGCACGGGTCTCTTTCCCTAGGGGACGGCACTTTGCCTCTGGGACCAGGTGTCCCCAAGTGATGAAGTGAGTAGCTTCTCTCCGGGAGGCCAAAGCCCTGTTTCAGGGAGACCATGACCTGGGACGCTTCCCAGCTGCAGCACCCGGTCTCAGGGATGGGATCTGCTCCGCCTGGATGTGGCCAGGCTTCCCCAGGAGCTGTGGCAGGGAGAGGGCTGGGGCTGGGGTAATGGGGAGATGCTGCTGGTGGCCTTCAGCATCGCCCCTCAAACGCCTCTCCCAGAGGGAGGAAAGCAGGTTAATAGCACCGGCTACCTGTCGCAATGTGCTCTCCACCCGCGATGAGCCTTTCCCGACCTCCCTGCACCCCCAACTCTCTCGGGAAACTGAGGTCAGGGCCTCCAGGCCACGCTCAGAAAGCTGCCTGTTGGTCTGAGCCGGGTGTGGGCTCCAGCAGCAAACAGGGCAGACAGACCCTGCTCCACGGGCCTCCCCTCCGGGCTGCTGGAGGCCACCCAGCCGGTCTGGGCAGTTGTCCGCAGGGTAGAAACCAGACAGGAGAGATCTTGGTTGAGGCAGGACCCATCGCTTGTAACAGCACACATGCTGACAGTCTGGTGTCGGGCAGGAGGACTCGGGGGCCAGTCCGGGGGGGTCTGGGGTCTTCCTCCAGCACAGGACCATTTTGTTTCCAAAACCAGATCGAAAACCACATGTCTTAGGGTAATTATAAAGATGTCCTACCTTCTTCCCTGAGTTTCTTTCTCGTTCCCTTATTTTTATGTCATGTCCTGTGTTTAGAAACAGTGTGTACGGGCAGGAGTCTTCTCCTTGCTACCTGTGTTGTGCTTGGGGTCAGGACACTGCTGCTGGCCGGCGCCGAGCTTCCTGCATCCTGCGTGGGCCCCACCGCTGTCCTTCCGGCCTCCGGTTCACCTGGGGACGGTCCGGCAGCGCTGCCGGAGCGGCGGTGCCTCCTGGAGCCAGAGCCTCGGAGGGAAGGCCAGACCCAGGACAAAGCGGAGGATTGGGACGCGGGAAGGCCCGGGGAGCCGTGCTTAGCTTCTGGCTCCGTGAGCGGCCATGGGAGCGTCCCTGCGGGCTCGGACGGGGACTTGCTGCCAGGCGGGTGTGCGAGGCACTGAGACGCCGTGGCAGGTGTGCCGCAGGGAGCGGACGCCTGACTGTCTGGCTGACGCCTTGGGCCTAACGTGTGCGATGCACGAACTGAGGAAAAAGCATCTGAAAGTGCTTTGAGGAGGAGGATGTGCGTGTGAGCTCGCGGGACGACTCGCTTCTGCATGTGTAAGCATCCCCGTCGTGGGGGCTGCACCTGGACTTGCCATGAGCTTCGCTGAGCCACCAGAGGCGTGCACAGTCACACCCAAACCGTCGGGGGCGTGCATGTGAGTGTGTGCAGTGGCCGGGCCCAGAGGTTGCCCTCAGGTCCGCGGCCACTCCCCCCCTAAACACACACGATGTTGACTGAAGAACTGGGTGCGCAATGAAACACCCGATTTTCTTGTCTTTTCTTTTTTTATTAACATACAATGTAGCATTAGCCCCAGGGGTACAGGTCTGTGAATCGCCAGGTTTACACACTTCACAGCACTCACCATAGCACATACCCTCCCCAGTGTCCATAACTCAACCTGCCTCTCCCTATCCCCCTCCTCCCTGCAACCCTCTGTTTGTTCTATGAGATTAACTGTCTCTTACAGTTTATCTCCCTCCCAATCCCATCTTGTTTCATTTTTCCCTCCCTTCCCCCCATAAGCCCCTCGTCCTGCCCCTCAAATTCCTCATGTCAGGGAGATCATATGATAATTGTCTTTCTCTGATTGACTTATTTCGCTCAGCATAATACCCTCTAGTTCCATCCACGTCACTGCAAATGGCAAGATTTCATTTCTTTTGATGGCTGCATAGTATTCCATTGTATATATATACCACATCTTCTTTATCCATTCATCTGTGGATGGACATCTAGGTTCTCTCCATAGTTTGGCTGTTGTGGACATTGCTGCTATGAACATTCGGGTGCACATGCCCCTTCAGATCACTATGTTTGTATCTTTGGGTAAATACTCAGTAGTGCGATTGCTGGGTGGCAGGGTAGCTCCATTTTCAACTTTTTGAGGAACCTCCATGCTGTTTTCCAGAGTGGCCGCACCAGCTTGCATTCCCACCTACAGTGTAGGAGGGCTCCCCTTTCCCTGCATCCTCACCAGCATCTGTTGTCTCCTGACTTGTTAATTTTAGCCATTCTGACTGGTGTGAAGTGGGATCTCATTGTGATTTTGATTTATATTTCCCTGATGCCCAGTGATGTGGAGCACTTTCTCATGGGTCTGTGGGCCATCTGGATGTCTTCTCTGCAGAAATGTCTGTTCATGTCCTCTGCTTATTTCTTGATTGGATTATTTGTTCTTTAGGTGTTGAGTTTGATAAGTTCTTTGTAGATTTTGGATACTAGCCCTTTATCTGATGTGTCGTTTACAAATATCTTAGTTGTGTTTTGGTTTTATTGACTGTTTCCTTTGCTTGGATGATCTGTCCATTTCAGTGAGGGAGGTGTTAAAGTCCCCTACTATTACTGTATTATTGTCAATATGTTTCTTTGATTTTGTTATTAATTGGTTTATATAATTGGCTGCTCCCACGTTAGGGGCACAGATATTTGAAATTGTTAGATCTTCTTGTTGGACAGACCCTTTATGTATGACACAGTGTCCTTCCTCATCTCTTATTATAGCCTTTGGCTTAAAATCTAAATTATCTGAAATAAGGATTGCCACCCCAGCATTCTTTTAATGCCCATTAGCCTGGTAAATTGTTCCCCACCCCCTCACTTTAAATCTGGAGGTGTCTTTGGGTCTAAAATGAGTTTCTTGCAGTCGGCATATTGTTTTTTTTTTTTTAATCCATTCTGATACCCTGTGTCTTTTGATTGGGGCATTTAGCCCATTTACATTCAGGGTAACTATTGAGAGATATGAACTTAGTGCCATTGCATTGCCTGTCAGGCGACTGTTACTGTGTATTGTCTCTGTTCCCTTCTGGTCTGTTAATTTTAGGGTCTCTCTTTGCTTAGAGGACCCCTTTCAATATTTCTTGTAGAGCTGGTTTGGTGTTTACAAATTCTTTTAGTTTTTCTTTGTCCTGGAAGCTTTTAATCTCTCCTTCTATTTTCAATGATAGCCTAGCTGGATATAGTATTCTTGGCTGCATGTTTTTCTCCTTTAGTGCTCTGAATATATCATGTCAGCTCTTTCTGGCCTGCCAGGTCCCTGTGGATAGGTCTGCTGACAATCTAATATTTCTACCATTGTATGTTACAGACTTCTTGTACTGAGCTGTTTTCAGGATTTTCTCTTTGTCACTGAGACTTGTACGTTTTACTATTAGATGAGAAGGTGTCGACCTATTCTTATTGAGTTGAGCAGAGTTCTCTGTGCCTCCTAGATTTTGGTGCTTGTTCCCTTCACCAAATTAGGGAAATCCTCTGCTATAATTTGCTCCAATATACCTTCTGCCCCCCTCTCTCTTTTTCTTCTGGGATCCCAATTATTCTAATGTTGTTTTGTCTTATGGTATCACTTATCTCTCAAATTCTCCCTTCGTGGTCCAGTAGTTGTTTGTCTGTCTTTTGCTCAGCTTCTTTATTCTCCGTCATTTGGTCTTCTAGATCATTAATTCTCTCTTCTGCCTCATTCATCCTAGCAGTAAGAGCCTCCATTTTTATTGCACCTCATTAATAGCTTTTTAAATTACAACTTGGTTAGATTTTAGTTCTTTTATTTCTCCAGAAAGGGATTCTCTAATATTTTCCATGCTTTTCTTGAGCCCAGCAAGCACCTTGATAATCGTCATTCTGAACTCTGATTCTGATATATTACTTATGTCCATATTGATTAGGTCCCTAGACTTCGGTACTGCCTCTTGTTCTTTTATTTATTATTTTTTTTGTGTGTGGTTTTTCTGCCTTATCATGTTATCCAGATAAGAATAGATGAATGAGAGAACAAAATACTAAAAGGGGAGCAATGACCCCAGAAAAATATACACTAACCAAATCAGAAGAGACCCAAAACTGGGGGGAGAAAAAAAACTGGAAAAAAAAGAAAAAATATATATATATTAGACTGGTGAGTAGAACATAGCCAAACACTAGGTTTTGGGTATTTTGGTCTGTTAGAAGAAACTACCTCCCAAAATTTTAAAGAAAGAAAAACTTATATGTATGCGGAAAACTAAGGGTAAACACGATGAAGGGATGGCATATGACTGTAAAGATAAAAATTTAAAAAGATTTTAAAAAAGGAATTGATATGATACGAAGTTGGTTGAAAAAGGAATAAGAAAAGGGGTGTCTGGGTGGCTCAGCCGTTAAGCCTCTGCCTTTGGCTCAGATCATAATCCCAGGGTCCTGGGATCAAGGCCCGCTTAGGGCTCCCTGCTCCACTGGAAGCCTGTTTCTCCCCCTCACGCTTCCCCTGCTTGTGCTCCGTCTCTCGCTGTCTCTCTCTCTGTCAAATAAATAAATAAAAATCTTTTAAAAAATGAACAAAGAAAAGAGAAAAAGAGGAAAGTATGTGATCAGACTGGAGGCTAGAACAAAGCCATGTGCTACATTTAAAGTATATTTTGATCTATTAGAAGAAATTGTATCCCAGATTTTTAAAGAAAAAGAACCTTTATGTATACTAAGAACAAGGTTAAATACAATGAAGGGATAGAATATACCTATAACAATGAAAATTGAAAAAGATTTTTTTAAAAGGTAATGATAAGATAAAATAATTTAAAAGGTTAAAATAGGAAAGAGGAAAAGTTAAAAAATAGAGTAAGCAGAAATAAAATTTAAAAAAATTAACTTTGCAATACTAATGGATCATGGGAAAAGCCATGAATTCTATGCATTGCTCTCCCCTAGCTCTGGAGTTCGCAGTTCTAGATCGGTGAGCGCGGTCAGTGGCTGGATGTTCTTGCTGATCTGGGGGAGGGGCCTGTTGCTCTGATTCTCAAGTGTCTTAGCCTGAGGCGGAATTGCACCGCCCTTGCCAGGGGTCGGGCTAAGCAATCTGCTCGGGTTCGCGCTCGGAGCTTTTGTTCCCCGAACAGTTTCTGTAGAGCTCTGGAGGACGGGAATGAAGATGGCGGACTCCTAGTCTCCAGCCAGGAGGAGGCGAGAGCTTGGGGACCCCTCCTCTGTGTGCCCTCGGAGAGAAGGAGTCAGTCCCTCCCGTCTCCCTGGTCTCTGGCTGAGCTCTGAACTCCCCTGGTTTGTGACCGAGCGTCTCTGTCTCTGGCGCGCAGCCCCGTTTGGAGTCTCCAAACCCAGCACATTCCTGCCGCAGGCTCCTGAGCCACTCCTCCCGGAGGAGGAAGGTGAGTGTCCCTGGATCTGCCACTTGCGGCGTCCCTGCTCTAAGGGCAGTGGCCCCACTGTGCCTCGGATCACGGTTTAAGGTGACCCCGACCTGAGAACCCACTCCTTGGCTCCGTCTCTGCAGTCGGCTTTCCTGCTCCCATACCTGCGAGCTCTGCCTCACTCAGGCACCCCCGATCCTCCGGTGACCCTGTGGGACCTGAAACCACGATGTCCCTGTGGAGGCTCCACCCCCCACTTAGCCTCTGGAGCGACGTCCCTCCGTGGATCCGACTTCTAGAAGTTCGGATTTTGTGCTCCGCCGCTTGCCAGGAGCTGGCCCCTCCCCCACAGTCTATCTTCCCATCGCTTTGGACTCACTTCTCCGCACGTCCTACCTTCCAGGAAGTGGTCAATTTTCTGTTCCTAGAATCGCTGCTCCTCTTCTCTTCGATCTCCTGTTGAGTGTGTCGGTCTGATAACTGTCCAGCTGATCACCTGCTGCTGATGTCGTCTTGGTCTCCTGCCCCTCCGCCACCCCGTTTTTCTTTCAGCCTGATTTCATTTTGGAATCACAGGGATCAAGATAGTTAAGCTTCGAAAAAACAAAACCCCAACAGCCTGTCTGGGCTCGGCGTGGATTCTCTCCTGGCCGGCTGCCTCGGCTGGGCGGCCGCCGCTGCTGCGCTTGGCGTGGGTGTCTGTGTGTGAAGGGTGCCTGGAAGGGAGGCCTCCCCGCCTTCCCCGAGACACACCCCAGGGAAGAACGTTACATGAATGAGAAACCCAGATGTCGAGACTCGAGGCAGAAGGTCTCCTTTCTTGCTGCTTTCCTGAGTTCCGTGACACCTAGAATGATGTCTGCCCACAGATCCCGGGACACCCGAAGTGGCGGCTGTAGTCCAAGACCTTATTCTGCTACTTGAGTTTGGAGGTAGACAGCCCAAGCCTGTCTTCCAGCTCTGCCATCCTGCAAGTGTGGCCTCCATTCGCAAGGTGCCCTCAGGGCCCAGAATGACCTCTAGGGCTTCGCCTTTATGCCCCTATTCCAGGTAGCAGAAAGGCTGACAGGGAGAAAGGCCGAGGGATGGGCTCCTCTGAGAGATTTCCTGCAGGACCTAATGAACACTCTTCGTTTCGGTGGATGATAAATGGTCAGGCATGACCTCTGCTGAGGGTTGCCAGGATGAAGGCTTTGGGGGACATACAGACCAGTGTGGGCATTTGTTGCATTGGTTTGGGGGTGAGCCCTGGGGGCACTGAATCTCAGGCAAGAGGACAGGGCAGGGAGAAGATGTCCCCGCTCGCCTCATAGGGGTCACCAATGGGGGGTCCGATATCGGGTGTCGAACCCTGGAGCAACGGGGGCTGAAGGGAGTCCGCGGCCGGCGGCTCCCGCTTCCAGCTGTGGGGACGCGGAACTGTGAGTGAGGCTGCGTGGTGCCAACGCGTGTCCTTAGGAAAGACATCGAGGAGCCGAGTGGGGACATTTCAGGTGGGGGGGGGGGGGGGGGGGAGGGACACCCTACCCTGATTTCCTGCCCTGAAAAGAGGCATCCGTGCCTGTGGGTGGGTTGGGGTCTTCCAGAGGCTGCTTCAGTCACCTGAGGAGGGAGTGGCCTGGGCAGAAAGTGGGTCTGGGGGGACCCCGCTCTGAATCCAACCTGTTGCTGACAGGTTCCTTGTTTGTCCTCCTTCTAGAAGGGTTTGCGAGGAGAAAGAAGTCCTCCCTTTGGTTTGTGGGGTCTCTGCTCGTGGTGTCTGCTGCCATTCTGACCGTCGGCCTCGCCGCCACCACCAGGACGGAGAACGTGACCGTGGGGGGCTACTACCCAGGGATCATCGTGAGTGCTGCTGCCCGCGGGGCCTGTTGGGAGGGCCATGGGGGGTGACACTCTCCACTCCAGTTCATGGGGTTGGAGCGTAAGGCGGGGAAGCCGCTGTGGGTGGTTGTGGTCAGCAGAATCTGCCCCCAGAGGCACCTGTGCCTCCCTGGGCCCTGTGGCTGTGCCGGCTGCTGGCTGGCCTGCCCTAAGAGACACCATCATCCTGCCTCATGTGGCCGGGGTGGTGTGAGCATGGGGGGCCCATGGGAGTACAGGAGGGCAGGCGCACAGTCGGAGCTGGGGAGGGGGGAGGGTGCTGGTGGTGGAGGATGCCCAAGCTGGCCATGGCCCGGGCGCCGGAGCAGGACAGACCCTGGCCTGGACTCGGCCCAGGACCTCCAGATGGAACCCACCCCAAAACAGCATGCTGACTGCACCCCGTCTGGGAGAACAGACACGCGTCTCAGTGGAGGCCGGCCGAGGAGCCCCAACTGTCGTTGTGCCAGTCAGTCCCTCTCCTGGGGCAGCAGGAGGGGCCGCTGTCCACGCCGCACTTAGGCTGCGGGCTGGAGTGCCCCCGGCAGACAGGACAGCCTCCTGAGGTCGGCAGGAAGTGCTCCCCAACTCAGGATGGTCGAGGGGACTTTTCGGATTGTGAATTCACGTGCACCGTTGTTAGCAGTAGACTGTGCTCCCAGGGTCCCCACGGCGCCTACTTTATTTTATTTACCATCTGCATGACCGGCCCGTGCAGTGTTTGAGGCGACATAAAGAGTGATTGCGCAGAGAAAGTCTCAGCAGTGAAGTCTTCAGAGCTGCCTGTATTCTGGGGGCCCCACCTTTCTGCCGGGGGTGGTGGGGGGAGGGGACCCCAGGCACCGTGTCGAGGTGTCGAGGGCCGTCGGCTCTGAGGGAACCGGGTCCTGGGACCAGGCCGGTTCCAAGGGCTACGGAGGAGCAGACGGGATGCGCAGGAAAACACGGGAAAGTCCATCCCGTCTGCGGAGACGGTGGCAGGACAAACCGGGGCTGTGCGTCCGAGCCCCTCCTGTGGGACCGAGGGCGGGAGTCGGTGAGCCGTCCCTGTAGTGATGCTGGCGTGGGATTCTGACGCTTCTGAACCGAGCCACCGGACTGTGCAATGTCGAAGCTGCACAAGGCGAGAACCTTCCTCCTTCCTCCGTGAGAATTCTTAGACCCTCGGTGACAGCGTCTCCACGGACGAGGCTGCGCAGCCACGAGCGGCTCTGACTTCAGGGCGCTGAATTTGACACAGTGACCTAGAGCGCCCACCACAGTGCTGCTCTGAGGGTCAGTGCCCCAAACTCCGATGTGCTCCCGACCGCCAGCTGGGGCCCCCCAGCCACCTGCCGCCAGTGGCCCAGCCCCCCGTCCCCCCGTCAGCCGCCGTGCACGGCGATGTCCCCGGGTGCCGGTCAAGCTGACAGACGTGACAGACAGACGTCTCCCACCAGGTGGACACAGTCAGTGGACGGGTCCCTGTGCCCCGCCCTGGATCCCTCGCTCTGGGGCGAGCACAGCCAGGGTAGGCTTCTCCAACAGCCCGCCACCCCTCGTCCGGACACAGGAAGGCCCCTCGGCGACCTCCCAGTACGGGAGCCTCCTTCCTCTCTCTCCTCCCCTCCCCGAGGCTACCTGTCCACCTGCTCACCTGAGCCCAACGCTCCCCTGTGCTTGGCCTCAGCAGTGTCCGTGGGCGACTGGCAGCTCCTTGTCTGCCCTCCTGGGTCTGGTTCTGGGTCCTCGTGTCTCACCCGAGGAGCTGTCCTCCGGCTCGCACTTCACACTGGCCCGGGAGAAGCATCAGGTGGGCTGCTCGCCTGACGGGCCGATGCAGAAGACGGGCCGGCGGGGCTCTGGGCCACCGTGAGGGGCTGTCCCCCGTGCCGGCTGAGGGGGGCCCGTGGGACACTCCTTTCTGCAATCAGGACTTGAAGTAGTTGAACATCAAGTTGAGACGCGCCAGGTTTCGGCAACCTCGATTCCAGTCACCGGCACAGCCTGAGCCCGAGAAGCCCACCCCGGTGGGCAGGGGCCTGTCTGCTTCTCGGTGGTCAGGGCGGCAGGGGGGCGGGACCGGCCGGCCTTGTCCCTTGGCCAAAAGCCTTCTACGGGTGGCAGTGTCCTGGGCGTTGCTTGTGTGAGGGCCGGCGGGCGGCTTGGGCGCTAACCAGGAGCTTCCCTGTTCTTCCTTCTGTGCAGCTCGGCTTTGGAGCTTTCCTAGGAATTACTGGCCTCCCCCTGGTGGAGAACAGAAGGCAAATGGTAAGAATGTACAGTTCCTTTTGGACGCGGGGTCATGCGGGTGTGCCCTGACCAGAGTATGTTGCGGCTATAGCTGGGCATCCTAGGAAAGCCGCCCACCCCAGTCCAGCAACCTAGGGTGTGGGCTCACGTTCCCCAGGCTGTGTCCTGCACAACTCTGGACTCGGGGCTTGGTGGGTGTCCTTCACAGTTAGTCCAGCATCGTGGGTGCCTCCGACAACCTAGCCGCTGATGTTGAGGCATAGGAAGGAAAGTTCAGGGTGTGGGGTGTGTCGGGCATGGGCTCTCCCCAGCTGAGGAGAGACGGGGAGTAGATGGACAAGCAGAGGGCCCAGGGCTCTGACGGGCTTTACAGAGGAGGAGACACGGGGTGTATGAATGCCAACCTTGATCAGTTTTCCGAACATTGTACCTTGATTCATGATTTCAATGTCGTGTCTGTTTGCTGATGTGCTGTTTTGGGGCTGGAGTTCCGAGAAGAGTCGGTCATTTTCCCAGTCCACGGTGGCAGCGAGTGTTGAATTTTGAGAGGTTTTCAGAGGGGTTTGGGGCCACGTGGCCGTGTCTGACTGCTTCTCCAGCCACAGCCTCTCGGGCTCTCACGGTGTGCGATGGCTGCGGCAGAGGACCCTACATGTCGCTGCTCCTGGCTGACGGCAAAGGTCTGTGGCTGAGCCGTGGTGGCCACTGTCGTCACGCACACCGAGGGAACGGCCCCTGGGGCAGAAGGGGTGAGGGGCAGGTCCTGGGATGGGGCTGGGGGGTGAGCGGGTCAGAGAGGTCTGGGTTCTGGCAGAAACAAGTTTTATCTTTAGTATTGGGGTGGGGGGGTGCCTGCTCTGGGCCGCCGGCTGCACAGAGGTGGACAGAGGGCCCGGGGGCTTCTGCCACACGTCTGGGGGGCATGGGACCCCACCCTGCTTGCCTTGCGCAGGCCCCTCTGCCCGGAGTCTCTCGCAGGCAGGGGGGAGAGGCAGGACCCAAGAAACAGAAGCACCCTGGCTCCTGGGTCTGCCCGAGGACACCCTGGAGGGGGTCCCCTAGAGATTCCCATGAGACCCTTTCCGTGCCCTCCCCCAAGCGATGTTTAAGAACCTTTAGGAGGCGGGGAGGAGTCAAGATGGCGGAGAAGCAGCAGCTGAGACTACTTCAGGTTGCAGGAGATCAGCTGGATTGCTTATCTAACGATCGCAAACACCTACAAATCCAACGGGAGATCGAAGAGAAGAAGAACAGCAATTCTAGAAAGAGAAAATCAACCACTTTCTGAAAGGCAGGACTGGCGGAGAAGTGAATCCAAAGCGACGGGAAGATAGACTGCGGGGGGAGGGGCCGGCTCCCGGCAAGCGGCGGAGCCACGGAGCACAAAATCGGGACTTTTAAAAGTCTGTTCCGCTGAGGGACATCGCTCCAGAGGCTAAACCGGGGTGAAGCCCGCGCGGGGTCAGCGTGGCCTCAGGCCCCGCAGGGTCACAGAAGGATCGGGGTGTATGAGTGTCGCAGAGCTTGCAGGTATTAGAACGGGGAAGCCGGCTACAGAGACGGAGCCGAGGAGTGACTCTCAGCTCGGGCTTACCTTGAACCGGTCGCAGGCTCGGTGAGCTCGGAGCGGCCGGAGGCCAGGGTGACGGGAGCAATTGGGCGCTGTTCTCTGAGGGCGCACTGAGGAGTGGGGCCCCGGGCTCTCGGCTCCTCCGGGCCGGAGACTGGGCGGCCGCCATCTTCATTCCCGTCCTCCGGACTCTACGGAAAGCGCTCAGGGAACAAAAGCTCCCGAAAGC